TGTAAGAATAGAAAATGTGCAAATGTTTGCAACACACAGACAAACCCTCATAAAACAATGTCCTGTAAAAACTTCTGACCTTCATCAAACAACATCAGATAAACAAATTTGCCTCGCAGTACACAGCAGCACAGGCATGACGTCCTTCCTCAAGTATGGGCTGTAGTTCCCTGTCAGACGTGCCGCTCAGCCAGTCATCAAACAGAAATCTCCAGAGCTTCATGTTAGCTCGGTTGGTTTAGCATAGCTTTAAGATGCGGAGTGGTTGGCGTCCTGCGAGGAAGCGCTCAGTGATGGCAGCCGCTCAGCTGCTTTCGCTCTTTCTGCCAAGAACCTGTCAAACTCTGCAGAGAAGGCCAAGCTGGGTTAGATGTCACTGTATCTGTCATCTGAAGGTCTACGGGTAAAATGATGGGGTGAAGTAACAGAAAGGGAATCATGCACAAGACAGTGGGAAAGTGGTTTGGTGTTAAAGTCAATAAAGGAGAAAATATCCAATTAAGCTTTTTAGAAGCTAAAGCTTTGGTTCTGTGGACTGTGTTCATGTTTAGAACAGTTAGTCCTTGTGGTACCAGATTAACCTCAGTTTATTCTGTTCAAGTTATGATATGACGCGAGTCATTCTGGAGCAGAGCCTGCAGGGTTTCTGTGCTGAACAGGTCTGCAAAGAGTCCTGTCACCTGTACTAGAGCCTCTGGTTCCACCTACTGCTCACACACAACTGTTCAGCTGAGAAATGAGACTGCTGGGTGGAAAAACTGGATCACTAACTTATGTAAAACCTGAGCTGAAAAATATGATCAAAGCTTCACGTCGAGGCACTTAAACAAAAAAATCTTTTGCCATTTAACAGTGTTTAAGCTACGGCGGTGCAGACTTGCATTATAACAACTACCGGGCAGTGGGACCAGGCCTCATGCCGCCGGTGGACGTGAACGCCCAACACTGAATGTTAAGAGCTGCTCATTTCTTAAAAATAAAGTGTCAGAGCTCTCACCTTTGCTGGTCACACCCTCCGAGTCCTCGAAGTCGTCATACTGCGCCACATACACAAAAGACATTTTGTTTTACATAACATTCATATACACAACTACACACAAAGATTTTTATCTCTGGCATCAAACTCTTCTCACTGGTTCAGGTGTTTGGTTTTGTGTGGATATGTCTGGAGGTTTTCATGCAAATGTCCTGGTACAGCATCACAGAACTGTGGCTGAGCAGCCTAATAATCAACAAGCCCAAACCAATAAAACAAGGTCAACAAATCAACTGAAGACTACTGACGTGTCTGGACACATTCTCTGGACTAAAGTTAATTTGGTTCACTGGAGTCTTGTGGTGAAAATGTTAACTCTTGGACACGTCTTCCTTCACAGACGAGCTGAAAACAAAGAGCAGCCTTTCTGTTGCATGCACTAGTTTGCTGCTGTTGCAGTGATCTTTGCACAAACAGAATCAGGGTTCAGTACAGACCAAACCAAACCTACCAAGACCAAGGTGACATGGCTTGACAAACACACGCTACAGCTGAGACTGAAGCAAAGTACTGGAGAAATTCAATTTGTGACCAGAGGATGGTGCTAGATGAAAAGCTACGGTAAAATGAAAGTGACAACAACCATCCTGAAGGAAATGTGAGTTTCTGAACCTTATTTTATTTCATTTAGATATTTCATTACTTATGTAGGGTCAATTTAATCCGGCCACTTACGTCATCATCCAGCGCCAGCCACTTCTCAATATCATCCATCACGTTCGACTGGGTGACAGGAATCTAGGAGAGAAAGCACCAGGATGGTCAGCGCAGTAACATATGAGCCACTGGTAAAACTCTAGGAAGGTGCAACGGACCAAACGATCACACTCCACAAACGAAGCACAATATGTTGTTAAGCAAAGCAGCAAACCAAGAGGTATGACAACAATGCTGTGTACCCGGATGGGCCAAACCCAACACTGTCATGCTCCGTGTTGGGCGTAGGCACTGATGACAGCTCCAAAAATATCTTTCTGACTTCAGCACATACAGAAGCATGCACACCACTGTGTTGTTCTCACAGAGCCCAGAAAGTGATGCAGATCACGGCAAAGCAAACTGCAACCTCATGAGAAAAAAAAAAAAAACAAGAGACGGGGGGGCTGGACACATGCTGGACCCACCATTCCCCTTTTAATCATCCAGTCTAACTGTGGTGAGGAGCTGCGGGTGGAGGCAGCACTGGCGTCCTTCACATAGAGAGTTCATTAAGAGGAAAACAGTTACTGAGGAAAAGCAACAAACACATCCAACAGCTCTGGACTAGGAGCTCACTGACTGTAACTCTCACCCTCCTCTCAACTGCCACTGTTTACAAACTCATAACTACCTCTATGCTCGCAATCGGACTGCACCGAAAAGTGAGGCAAATGACACAGTGAGCTTTCATTTCAAAAGCCAGAACTGTATCGAACCACCGAACTGTGCTGCGACCGCTCGATGAATCTCGTGACTAAACCTGTTCAACTGTGCAAAAACCTGAGCAACAAATCTCCGCTCACCGTTCCAGTGCTGTTGGGTCTGCTGTCCCGCGCTCCAGCCAGGACGTCCACGTCACTGTGCCCGCTGCAACACAGGGTTTGTACTGGTCAGCTGCCATGTAGCTAATATTCAGTGAAATATCTTGACAAGGACTCAGGGGGAATAAGTCAGTATTAAAGTTCAGCCCAGGAGCCACAGGACTGATCTGTAACACTGTGATGTGACAAGAAAACACAGTTTATGACACTTTAGTGGTTCCCAACGTGCTGTGTGTGCGATGTAGCACCACAGCCCCGTCTTATAAAGCCACGAGTTATCTTTCTCTACCTTGGCCTTTGTTGAGATGAGATGTTTATTTTCTGTGATAAAGCGTCATCTGGTTCACTTGTACCTGTAAGAAGAACAGCAAGAAGTAACCCAGTGATTTTTTTTTTAATTTTCATCTCATATCATTAATGTGGACTCATTTACATGACGCACAAAGATATGAAGTATAAACATCGACTTCTGTGTTCCAGAGGCAAAACAACAAAAACTCAGTGATATCAAACATTTGTCTTAAAGACCATCCGAAGCAAAACGACTCATTATTTCAGCATCTTCCATTAGGTCATCCTTTTTAGTTTTACTTAACAACCTGCAAAGTGGAGCCTGTTCTTCAGTGCCAACATCACTGGAACGGTACAATACAACATGGTTAGAGATCATTTCCTAGGCAGATTCAGTTTCACATAATTCTCAGTCCAAAACTCAGATTAAACCAGCTGCTGTAAATTTATTCCTAATATCATTAGACCAGTTTTCTTTAAACAGCTGAAGAATGAACCAGCATTAGCTTGTTCTATTTGAGCGTCTGCTTCCTTACATCCAGCTGTTTTAGAATAAGGCGTCGATGTACAGTACTCCCCCACAAATATATTAAAAAGGCCACAGTACATGAAGGTGACATGGCACAGTGTGCACATGCTGTACATGTGCAGCATGTATGAAGGCTTGTGCACAGCAATTACACACTTCATGTATTAAAGAAGTACACATGAACAGTAAAAACAGTTGCTGTGTACTTACTGAGTTTTGCCAACTGACTGGACAAAGCGTCAGCTTTTGATTGGCTGAGTGAGCCGTCACTGGCAGCTGATGGGCCGAGAGACTCAGCTGTGAGATCGAGGTCTGGTAGGTTGACGTATCTGTGGCTCTGAGAAACAAAGAGCAATGTTCTGGAAGCACACAGTGCAACCACCACCACCAAACAACAACATCAAACCCCTGCTCTTTACCTTCTGTGCTGCATTGGGACCACTGGTTACTTGTCTCTCAAACCTGAAAACAACACAACTAAATCATTATCACAGAGACCTACAACACTCTTATTCTGGTAATAATAAGGTCGTATGTTAATAAGAACGTATCTAACCTGTGGTAGCGAGTGAAGGTGGTGTTCATCTCATCGTTTGCGGCCAGTAGTTCCTCGATCAGCTTCTCCTCACTGAGTCTGGGGACGATCCTCACTATCCTGCCCTGCATTTCCTTACAAACTGTGTATAACTGCTAATGACACAATCAGACAAAGAATGTGTGGGTGGGGGGGTGAGGGGCCAGATGCCACACAAAAACGTATATAGTACGAGATCAGTTAAGGGTAAAGCACGATGAATGGACAGAAATGATTTTCTAGCAGCAGCCAGAGCAGAGAAAACGTCACATCACTGTCGTGTTGTTTTACCTCCAACAGCTCCAAGTCTGCTTGTTTTACCGTGGCAGGATCCAGCTGAGTCATCATGTCTGACATCACGGTCAGGTTGCTTCGCACCACGCCCAGCTCTGTCTTCAGCATTTTCACCTGGAAGTCAGTAGCATTTCCTGAATAAACACAGCTACTGCAACAGGCAGGAATGAATCATAAACATCAGGAGGACCCGGGGTGTGAGACAGTGTTTCAGCCAACGTGCAATTTAAAGACTAAAATATCCCTGTGAAATGCAGCAAGGCCCTTCACCTGGCTGGGAGTCAAGGCACCGGTTCCCTCTAGGGCCAGTTTTAGCTCAGAGGTCTGGGGTGAGATGAGAGGAGGTTTGGAAGGAAGGCGTACAGCAGGTAGAGTGGTGACAGCAGGGCCATTCCCTGGCACAGTCTGGCAGGCAAAGGCACAGAAAGGACCCACAAGAGAAAGACCAGCAGTGACAGGTGAGCACCCAGCTACCAGCAGTGAAACAAAGCGCACCCAGTCATGTTTGCACCTTTTTTGGGGCTTGCACAGGTGAGTAACCGTGCAGTTCTGTCATGGGGAACTCCAGTCCTTTCCTTCGCAGGTCCTCATACACCGCCACAACCCCCGTCAGGTCGGGCGAGCTGCGGAATGCATCGGCCCACGCCTTGACACAAGAAAACCACAAATTACTTCAAGACAGCTGAGCAAAGCTTGATTACATCAACACCCAGCCACACCTCATGCCTCACCTGTATGATGCTGAGCACCCTGTCATGCAGGACCATTGGGGGGTTGTTCCTCGGGATGATGGACTGCACTAGAACCCCTTCTATAAATTCCCGTGTTGTCACCACGATGTGAAACCTGTAGCCACAGTTCTTCACGCACGTCTCCAGGACCTGACATCACAAGGACACAACAACCTCATATCACGTACGATTACACCTGTCAAGAGCTGGAACAGAGTCAAGAGGATCCCACTCACAGTCAGTGCCAGCATAACCTCCTTGAAGTTCTTGTTCCCCGCAATCCTCTTCCTGATGGCTCTGACTGCATCTTTGGGTCTGTAACCACAGAACTTTCTACGGTCAGAAGGTGGGTCTGCCTCCACCAGGGTTTATTAGTATTTTTTTAACTTCTGCGTTACAAAAAGATGAGTAGAAAAACTGGCAAGTAAAAAAAAACTGTAATATTGCAAAACCGTTTGACTGAGGTGGAACTGCTGATGCCTCGCTAAGAGAAACTGGCTCAGTGAATGAATCCTGACCAACATGAATCATGTGACTTAAACATCAATGAAGAGCTGAACAACGCAGATGTGTGGAGTGAGGAGGAAGCTGTGACCTTCCTCACGTTAACACAGAAATGCCACTTTTCCATCAGGTTTACTACTTTTTATTTTTCACAGTGTGACTGGATCAGTTTTTTAATGACATCATTGTGTTGTATCTTCTTCTTCTGCTTCTGGTTTGCTCAACTCCTAATATCCATGTAATGACAGTAGATAGAAACAGGAATTACTTTGCATTTTCTTTTATTGTTTTGCTGTTAAAATTCACACTATATTTGGATGGAGCCCCACTTAGAGGCAACCTCTGCAAAGAGAACACATACCCTTCCTCTGAGCTGTTGATCATGTCGCAGACTTCCATGTTGAGGGCCCAGTCCTCTGATGGCAGACTGGAGCTGGTCGCACGCTCTGTGACAAACAAGTACAAATGTGAAGCTACTTACTTATTGTGGGAATCGTTTCTTCTTACACATAACACACAGTCATTACAGTGCTATGTATTTTATGACGTGGTATTCCACAGGGATCGATCTTAGGACCTTTACTCTTCCTAATGCACGTACATAGTATGAAACCTGCAGCAGACTGTGTTTTCAGTATGCTGACATTTCAACTTTGTTACCGCTGTCAAAGTGTAATAATAATAATAGTCCATCCATCATCTATACCGCTTATTCCTGAATAGGGTCACAGGGGCCTGGAGCCAATCCCAGCAGACACTGGGCGAGAGGCGGGGTCCACCCTGGACAGGTCTCCAGTCTGTCACAGGGCTGATACTAAGAGACAAACAACCACACTCACTCCTACGGGCAATTTAGAGTCACCAGTCAACCTGAGCTGCATGTCTTTGGACTGTGGGAGGAAGCTGGAGCACCCGGAGAGAACCCACACAGGGAGAACATGCAGACTCCACACAGAGAGGCCCCGAGTCGGCCGGGACTCGGACCCAGAACCTTCTTGCTGTGAAGTGACTGTAAACCATATAAAGCATTTTGTAATTTAGCTTTGAAAAGTCTTGTGTTTTATAATAATAATAATACCTTTATTAGTTCTGTAATTGGGAAACAGGTAAATCTACACACTCACACACCGATGGCAGTACTGTCCTGCAAGGCGCTGCCCTCCAGGGAATCAAATCAGCGACCTTACAATGAGAAGACAACTGCTCTACCAATATGTGACTTGGAAGATGTAGTAATAACATTTTTACTTGCAAATTTATCAAATAGCCTGTTTTTTTAATGAATATTAAAAAAATGGTTTTGTAATAAACCAATGCTTAATACATATCAAATAATAACTGTCCTAACTGTAACCTCATGATCTGTGTTGTTTGAGGAAAAGAAAAGAATAATAATAAATAACAATAAAAATAACTGAATTATGTATTTGCATGTGCAAAGAGCTAAAGATAATTAGCGTGACGTACATGTAGTGCAGTAAAAAGTACAATACTTCCTTCTAACTGTAGTAAAGTAGAAATATACCATATGACAAAATGATGAAACCTACAGTACTTGAGTAAATGTAATGTCACTCCATGGCTGTTATTTGAACCCTTTTGTCAATAATGTTGTTTACTAGAATTGAATTAGAATTTTATCAATGTGTAAATAAATATCTACTTTATAATGAAAAATGCTTCTCTGCATATCTTAATCTCCTTCAGTCAATAAAAACACATTCGCAACCACAGCGAGATACAAATCGAATGTGGGTCAGGAGGGTGTGGCCAGGGTAAACAGACGCATCAACAACCAATCAGTGTGAGCATCCCAGCCTCTTGCTCCCGCCTCTACACGTCATTGGTTAGCCACCTGTCAGTCGAACACAAGCTCTTCCGCCACCCTTTGTCAAATTAACTTTGAATGCAGCTTTTTCATGTGTTGCGCTGGCGAACGTCTGGACAGCTACAGTCAGCAGCGCGCGGGGTCTGAGGGCGGCGCAGCCCGCTCGGCCGTCTGCTGCCGACACTGGCGTGTCATGTCGCGGCTTGTTCTAAGGCAGCTCACCGATCCGCTGTCCCACCGGCGTGCTGAACGGGTTCCCCATTAAAAACTCCATGTTGATGGCGGAGAGGAGCCAGCAGAGCACCGACGTGAGCCGTATGCGCCACCGAGAGCCGCTCGCTCCCGCAGGATGTCGCAGCGGACACGACAAAGTGGAGCCGTGTCGGAGCTGCGTCAGGGTTTAAAGGGGACGCAGCGTGTCGTCAGCTCGCGCACCGTACAGTCTTGTAACACGCATGCGCGAGGGATAAACCCAATAGCGACAGTGCTGAGGGGCGAAACCTATGCAAAATAGAACAGCGCCGCTTGGTGGCTGGTTTCGGTTCTGCACGGACCGCTGAAGGCTTCTGAAACTAGTTTATGGACAATATTGTTTTCGTGTACAAACATCAAGGAGCAGAACTAGTGAAATATAGGAATAAAGGTAACAAACAAAACTAAACGGGGGTTAGTTTTTGTTTTTATCAGAGTATATAAACTAAAAATAACTGAGAATAAAGAAAAGGATAAACAGCCTACACTATACATTCTACCTGTGAATATTTTCATTTGTGATCGTCAGTACAACTTTGTCTTATTTTTTCATCATCTTCAGTGAATTAAAAAAAGTATTTCAAAGTAAAACAAATGAATGTTTGGCTTGGAGGATATCACGTAATTTCCCCATTAAACATAAAATATTAATGGCTTTATCCAAGTTTTTACAAAAGTCACTTGGTAGAAATCAGACCGTTTCTTCTACAAGTGTGAAACAACTGCTCCACGTAAACACGGTATGTTTGTAGACACTGAAGGAAAAAAAGCAAAGCAGCTTTATTTGTTGAGCACATCTCAAACACAAATGTTGTTAATTGAAAGTATTAACATTAAAATCAGCTAAAAAACAGAAAAAAACCCAGTTAAGACAAAATTGCAGCATTGTGTAACCAGTGAACCGTCCAGCGTTGTGTTGTTTACGTGTCAGCCCTGTGACAGACTGGCGACCGGTCCAGGGTGGACCCCTCCTCTCAGCCAGTGTCTGCTGGGGTTGGCTCCATGTGACCCTGGCCACGATAAGCGGTCTAGATGATGTATGGACAGACTATGTAACAAATACTAGACACAGATAGACTCCAGTGTTACATGATGGAGCAGGTGAAGCTGCAGCAGTCTTTCAGCAGCGCAAGTCCAGTTTTAGTGAGAAGCGGCACCGATGCCTGCTGTGATCCGGACGCCGCCTTCTGATCTTGTAAAGCACCTGATTGAGAAGGAGACGTGATGTTTTCACTTAAAGGTCTGGTGCAGTGGTAGACAAGAAAAATGTTCATGCTCTTACACACAGGTGTCACGAGAAGTGGTGACCAGAGAGACACACTCACCTCCTGCAGCCGGTGCTTTGGGAGGTTTGAACTGTAAGAAGGCGGCCATTTCTCGGTCCTCCTCTATTTCCCTGTGGAGGAGAAAGCTTCCTGGTTTCTATCTGTGAAGCACTGTGCTTTTGTAGCACCTTGTTCAACAGCTGGGGTGTGTTTGATAAAAGCCTGGACTCCAGGCGGCAGGAGAGGGGTTTAATCTGCTACGCAAGATGGGACCCCTCCTTGTTTCAGTCTCACAGTGAATAATGAAGATGGCCTCTTGGCCTTACAGGCCCTCTAAGAACAGTCTGTTACTCAGCTGTCTATCAGTGAATGTCCAGTATAGACAGGACGCACAGAACAAGCGAGACACAAACAACTGAAGTTAATGCGTCCTGGTCAGTATCACTAGGGCTTTCATTAAAATGACATACATTTGTATTTGTTTGAGCCAAAATCCACGAAGCCAATTCACATGTGTGACTAATACAACTCTGTTACAAAGCAGCTGATCATATGTGTTCATGTCAGGAGTACTGCACAGAAGTGGACAAAGATGAATCACCCACCAATGTGTTTATCTCAACAGTTCGTCTCCGTTTTGTCTTTATACTGCTGTTTGTGTTGCTGTTCTTGTTGACCTTTTATGATTTTACTGTGAAGCACTGTGTAACCTGGGTTTAGAAAGGTGCTATATAAATAAAACGTCCTGTGTGTCTTTACCTCAGCCGCTCCAGCTCCAGGTCATCCACCAGGAAGCCTCTGGTCTCCACCAGCTTGTTGATCTGGAGCAGCAGCTGCTCTTCTCTCTCCCACTCCCCTCGCACTTTGTCTTTGTCTGCCACACGACAGGGACGACAGAAAATACAGGACAGTCGACACCAGCTCCACCAGCTGAGGGTTATGGTGCAGGTATTTAAAAGAGGATTAACTTCGTGCCGTTATCGTGTCAGCGATGTTGACACCACACCTGTTTGCCTGTTTTTGTTTTGCTGTCTGCCTTCACAGCGTGTCTGCTCTGGACCAGCCACAACACAACAACACAAACCTGATGAACACCACTTTGGCTCAGGAGGCCACCACCTTCGACTGGCATCTGAGGAGGTTTGTCCACAGTTAACATCATCAGAACTCAGTCTCCAGCTGTTTGGTTTATTACAAATGCCAGGAAGGTATTTACATATGATACATGTGGTTAAATTGTCTGGTGTTTTCTACTGTCTGAACTGAAGCCTGTTGTAACAAGGCAGCAGCAGCAGAAACGCATGTGTCATGTACGCACTTATATCGGGGACTAACGCAGCTGAAGTAAAGGTGCGCTGCTGGTGTGGCTAAGCATCCGATGACCAGGAGGGTGAGTGTTACTCTGAATATTTCCTTGAGAGACCGGATGTGTTGTCTGGAGTCGGATGGTTTCCTTTAACAAACCACATTCACAACACGTGTTCCATCCCCTTGGGTCCTCGTCACAGAACATGTGGCTGCTCCGACTTGTCACTGACCACAGAGCAAGCAGTGTGTGTCACATCCTAAACAAACTGTCAGCTTTACCAAAACACTGCACAGTGAGGCAGCGAACGTTTTTTAATTCACCTGGAATTGAGATGAATTTCTGCAGCTCCTTCTTCAGCTGTGTGATTTCTTTGCAGAGCTGGATGTCGTCCATCCTGAGGGCAAAACAACCACAAAAGACTGAACAGATGCTCTGCAGGAAATCAACAGATGCCAGTGTCAGAAATATGGTTAAACTTAACCTGAGGTCATAGTGGGGTGTTAAAAACACATTGCTTCCTTCCTAAGGTCATTTAAAACAGCATGAAACTACATGACAGTCAGAGAAACACCGGGCTGTCACACTAACACTGCACCACCAGCCTCCATCTCATTTCACCGTCAGACAACCTGTGTGGGCTGCTATTAGAGCGGCGGCAAAAAGAGAAATGACCGACAGAAACGCACTCTGAGCTGCTGGTGTAATTAAACAGGCTTCACTCCAGCAGCAGACATTTCTGGATGATAAGCTATCGTGCAAAACAGCCTGGAGTCCTTAATTAGCAACATGTCAATGTTAACTGATGAACATCTAAATAAAAAGTCTGCACAAATGAAATGGTGGTTAAAAAGGCTGAGAAAGGAGGATTCCCATATAATCATAATATCAAAAAGGACTTTAGTCATAAGGATTTGTACTTATGAAAAACCTCAGAGATGGTTAGAAATCAGGTTCAGCTTTATTGACACAAGGACAAGTGCAGAGCAGAAACCTGATGCAAAAAAGAAAATACTTTTAGATTAAAACTAAGAACTCTATGAGCAGTAGGGCTGTGCTTCAGTTTCCACCCTCTTAACACAGATGTGGAAACGTGAAACTAATGTCTTCATGAACCACAACCCTCCTCAGACTTGTAACTGTGAAGGTGCACAGAGAAAAACAAATCTCAGAACAGAAGTCATTAAGCTCTGCTTCCCTGACTCGTCGTACCATCTCCCTCCTCTGTGTCAAAACACCGACGGAGGTCCCAACAGAAAATCATTAAAACAAAGAGAGAGGACGACTCTCTCTCTGTGTGTGTTGTTGTTCTTTTGTTCACACTCTTGCTGCCATCGTGCACATGGCTGCTCCCAGTGCTGCGGCCGACAGCTGTGGCACATCAGCTCGTCCTCCTGAGACTCCCCAGACAGTATCGGGACCATTCAGATCCCAGTACAGCAGGATGGAGGTGGACCAGCTTTAACTGAATGCATCACTCAATTTGAAAAAGTCCTTTCTGTTCTTAGTAACTACAAGCTACGTGACTTAAATCTGGTTGCACCATTAAAGCTTAAAGCTCTTCTGCTTAATGTCTTCTCAGTCTTGAGGCTCCAGTGAGATTCAAAACAAAGCGACACCATAAACCGCTCTATGCCCCTCCCATCGCGTCCTGTTTCCTGAAGCTACAACATGAACTACAGATGCCTGGTTGGGACAAACTGCACAAGAAGCAGGCTCCAGTCTGAAGCTAGCGTTACCTGGCTAACAGTAAACATGTCAGTCCAGTAGAACCTTTTGGTTACTGCTGATATGACACAAAGCTCCAGTTGCTCCCAAATTAAAATCATATTAATTCAACACAAAAGGTAATTGGTTAACAGTTGCTCCCAAATAATGGTCATCACCATGCTAGGTGGCTAATGAAAGGCGGCGCAGGACTTTAAAGGTGGAGACCTGCCGGCCTAGTCTGCCAGTGAAAAACAAGAAAGAGGTTGCAAAAATACAGAAGGGACTGGGAAAAGGAATAGAAATGTCGTTCATGCAGTCCTGCCAACATGTACACGCAGTCATGCACTGTCTGCCACCAGGATTCCTCAGTAAGTCACACAGGAATTCATCAGAGTAAATATCAGGTATCTGGAGAAAATCACAAAGGGAGCCGGAGGAGGACACAGGGAGACGGACAAAGCTCCTTGTCCACCAGGCATCTGTGCTCCATAGCTCAGCTGCCCTAAATACAAGCATTTCAATAATTCATTGTTCTTCTATCTAGAAGATTCCATCTGTGATCTAAAATGTGTTTGCACCAATGATTGTTACTCAGGAGGGCTATGAATTAGTTTATGTGGTGCAACCCATTTGTGGTGGCGCCGAAGAAGCAGATCTTACATGTATCTCAGCTCGGACTCTCTCCGGACAAGGACATCTCGTATCCGCTCGATTCTCAACAGCTCTCCTTCGATGTCCTCGACCGTAACTGTGGAGTCAGCCATCGAAACACCACCATCTGCTGAAAGAGAACCGTGACCAGAACACGTTTATTAGGATAATAATAATAATCACCTTTATTGGCCAAGTATGTTACACACAAGGAATTTGTTTCTGGTATAAAACCAAGGCAGCCATCTGTGGCGCCAATTCACACCGATGACTCTAACCATCAGGGGCAACTTGGGGGGTCAGTGTCTTGCCCAAGGACACTTCGACATGTGGACTGCAGGCACCGAGATTCAAACCTCCAACCCTCTGGTTGGGAGATGGCTGCTCTACCCACTGAACCACAGTTGCCCCCGGGTCTATTAGGGTCTGACAAGGGTATTAGGAGAAGTCTCTTTTTAGATTCAAAGACCTGAAGCTCGACCGTACGAAGCTCTGACACCAACAAGATGTAGTCAAAGGGTATCGAGTGAGTCCCAGATATAACTGAATATTTTAATAAATAATACAAGACAACATATTAAAACTGAGTGTGGATGGATCAGTGAGCGGGCCCATTGGGCACAGGGGCTAAAGGGGGCCCAAAGGGGCCACATTCCCTGTTTGAGGTGTTAAAACAAAAACAACCACAACAAAGACAAGAAACATAAAACAGAAACAGTTGTTATAAAACCTAACACATGATTTGTACCATGACTAAATTTATAAACATAACTACAAGATGGCTGCACGTAGCCTGCACTGGATTTGTGTGCGGTCAAGGGGGGGGGGGCGTCTATATATCTGTGCCCCTGTTGTCTCATGCTCCGCCCATGAGGCCAAACATGTCTCTCCAAACATCTCTCTGTGCCACCGTGACGTGAGTGCAGCTCTGTGCACGCGCCCCCGCCTGCAGCCTCCCACTCCTCACTGGGAGCGATGAGTCATGCAGCAGAGCTCGGATTGGTTTTTAATTACCTGACCCTGTGTGAAAAGACACTGAGTCGCTGAGGATAACTGCACTAACACGCAACCCCCACATGGATCTGTAGCAGCAGCTCCAGGCTTCTTGGCTGAGTCTCTGCCAGCTGTGCACACCTGGATTTGGCCAGTCGATCCCGTTCTTCCTGCAGATCCTCTCAGGCTTTGTCAGACTGGATGGGAAGTGTGTGTGAACTCTTCAGGTCTCTCCTCAGATGTTCTCTAGGGGTTAGGTCTGGACTTGGGCTGGTCCCCTCAGAGACTGGTTCTGAAGCTGCTGCAGTGTCTGGGCTGCTTCAGGTCACTGTGGTGCTGAAAGGTGAACCGCCGCCCCAGTCTCAGGTTTTCTTCCAGGGCCTCTTCGTGTTTGACTGCGTTCAACCTTCCCTCAGTTCTGACCGTTCTCCCTGTCCCTGCTGCTGGGAAGCCCCCCCCCACAGAGAGCCCCTGGACTTCATGGGTCCTGCAGGGTGAACTGTGAGACCTTATACACACACACACACACACACAGGTGTGTGTCTTTCTACAGTGTGTCCAGTCAGACCAGTTTGCCACAGGTGGACTCCAGTCAGGGTCCACACTCATGTCAGACAGATACAGCTGAGGTTCTGGAGACTTTTAGAGATGAAAGGCTTCAGTTTTTCCAAAAACATTTTCACGTTGTCATTGTTTCATCGAGTGTGATCAAAAATGTCAGTTTTATCCACTTACAATTAAAAGCACAACACAGTGAAGTTGATAGTTTCTGAGGTCTCTGCAGGTCTTTTCAGGAAACCTACTGTAACTACAGATCACGATCGACTGGATGATCTTTATTTCCTCCTTAAATGTCTTAAAATGAAATCATTTTAAGGCAAGAAAATTAATTAGGTGAAATAAAAAAAGGTCGGGTAGTTTAAATCCTTGGGCTCTTTGAAAACAAAATGGAGACTATTCATTTATGAACAAAAAGGGCTTAGATGAATTTAAACAAAACTGAGTCTAAACTCACCTGATGTCTCCGTCGCTCCGTCCTCCTGCGTCCGCTCCACGGCGCCGGGCCGCGGACGCGCGCTCTCTGCCTCCATACTGGGTCTAAACGCCGCCGGCCTCAGAACTGTGCAGCCTGAAAAGGATGGATCCAAGGAGTCGCCTGTGCTCGTGCAGCGAGCGTGAAAACCCGCCACCAGCTGCTGCAGGTCCCGCACTGTTGGAGCGCTCGGCCTGGAGGGGCTGATGTAGCCGGGGCGCCACCTGCCGGCGCCCACCGGCCATTACACACAGCAACACGCAAGTGGCAAGGTGAGGAAAATGACATTGAATCCGTGGAGAAACAATGACAACAACTCCTAACTAAAACATATGGAATCAGATTAGTGTCTGACACATGTTTAACTTCTGAAATGGCGTTTACAAATAACTCCAAACCCTTTAATTCAAAGATAAAACAAAAAAAAACTACATAAGATGAAATATCCACGATAAATTTGAAAAACAAACCCTAACACAATACTGAGAAAAGGACGTTTCAAAGATTCAACTGTAAAATTCAGAAACTATTTTGAAAACAGACTGTGGTGTAAAGTAACTTCATTTAGTCCAGAACACTTCAGGTACTTGTGCTTTAATGACTCTTTCACTATTTACCAGATGTAGCTACTTTAATAAGACAAAACCAATCAGCAAATAAATTACAACTTATGAACATCAGACTTTGAGTTTGCTGAGAAAACATTTGTACTTTTACTTAACATTTTGAATGCAGAGTACTTCTACACTGTGGTATTGCTACTTCTGCTACAAGTAAAAGATCCGAGTACTTCTCCCACTGGAGGGTCGAGTCGTCTTTCATCATGAACGTGTCATGGCCCCCGAGTCAAACAGAGGAGACTCGATCTCCTGCAGCCAGATGTTCGGGGAGCACATCCCACATCTGTCTCCAGGAGCCGCTTCCTCATGCATCAGTTGCCAGCTGTGTGTGCACAGTTAGCACTGCACATCACGTGACAGGAGGAGATTTAAAGACACGCTGACCCAAAGCATCGTGCAGCTGTGGGACACCAGCACCGAGCGGCACTGTAACAAACTGCTTCAGGGAAAAGGCACAAAAATACCAGCATGCAACATAAAGAACGCGTCTGCTGACCGGACCTTAGTCATTCAGCTGTTTTTAAAACAGAAGCAAAGTCTCCCCACCTGTAAAACAGTTGGTCCATCAGTGTAATCAATCATTTTTTAAAAGCACAGCCAAAAGGGTGTAAAGAGGAAAAATGCTACATTTGATGTCATTTAGGTGAAACTGCAAAAAGAAGAGCGTGTTTTGTTAGGGTGATTTGTATTTTATGCACTTAAGAATGGTTTTATTTTATAGCACACATAAGTTTACATACTTATATGTCACAGTTATGTTTATATAGTTATGAATATCACCCTATGTGTTCACTGAACCACTGGTCAAATATTTGCTGTGTGAGTCACTGAAACACTAATGCAACATCATAAGTCTTGTCCACTAAATTACTGAATTTCATTAGATTTATGGCTGTAGCTAAGGGAGCTCATAGTTACGTATCGTTCCTCTGGACTGGTGGACCCAAAGGAGTCTTGGTACGGTAAGGCTCCAAGTTTATTAAAATAGATTAGACGTAGATGAGAGAGCTTCAAAGGGAGAACAGTTATGCACACACACACCCAGGTAAAACAGTTTTAATTAAGTGAAACTAAAGCAATGCGTAATATAGAGCAGTTAGTTGAAAACAAAGGAAGAAGTGAGTGTGTATGTAGGAATTAAAGTAGTATAGGTTAGTAGCACCTTTTCATACAAATATTGTTACCCACTAAGTTGAAGTCAGTCTTTCCTGTTTTATCCTAAACAGTGAGGCTCCATGTGCACATGCTAATTTTGATACGTTAATGCATAATAAATTTCACAGTGTGAAATATATATCTTCTTATTAGTCTTCTCTTTTCAATATAAAACGAACACGCCTCACAGTAAATGAACAGACTGATGGTAATTATTTCTCAGTGATTTCATGATTTGGATCTAAAGCAGGCTTTGGCTGCTGACTGCACGTCACATAAACTTAAATGGTAATATTTAATTCATACAGAAGCTCAGGAGAAGTGAGGCAGGCGTCACACAGCAGACGTTTGTGCTGCAAGACTGATTCCTTTATTCTTCACAGAACTTTGGTCTGAAAACATACAGGCTCAGACAAAAGAAAATTACATTGAGTCTTTTATATCAGGATTCATTTGTTGTCCTTGCATAAAATTGCAGTTTATTTAACCCACATGCAACATTTCTAACTTCATACAACTCGAGAAGCATCAAACCTCCGAGCTACAATATGTTTAGCTTTGAAACACAGGTCAAACGCAGCCGTCCTCCAAATGTTTCACATACGCCTTTCTATCACCACCGCGCAGGGTGGAGGAGCGCAGTCAGCGACTGTGTGGGTGTGTGTGGTGCACCAGGATGCCGGTCCAGTCGAGCCTCACCTTGTGCACATGCCTTGTGTTTACACTCCTTGTAAGAGGCTGTAGTGTTTTACGATCACAGTGTTCACCTGGTGGGGCCGAGTCCTTTATCTGCCCCCACACAATCCTGCTGCCTTGTTTGCTTTGTAACAGAATGACTGTGCACTGGCAGAGCCTCAGGCGGTCGGTTCAGCCGACTCAGTTTCCAGTGTTTAATTCCATGAAAATGTTTCAGTAATGAGAGTTAAAGTCAACACCTGGGTCTTAATTAAACCTGTCAGGGTAGGAAATCGGTTATTTTGGCCATGGCCCGTGTCTGGAAGTGAGACTGGCAGAGCGATAAGGGAAACCCTTGGACATGCTGGGGCTCAGGGCTTTATTCCTGCCCCGCTGTCTGTCGTCTTCCATTGCTTTATCCAGCCAGTCTCTCTCCGGTTCAGACTCAGAGTCGCTGGCATCACTGGCGTCAGCCGCTAACAGACGAGAATAATTGATCCTGTGCTGGGGAGGGGCTCTCAGCTGCAGCAGAGGCAGGCACACGCACCACGCCATCAGTGCCATGGCCGCACCTCTGAACAGCCACGTCAGCCCAAACCACTGCACCATAAAGCCTCCTGCAAAGCTCCCCAGCCCGCTCCCCAGGTGTTGAGAGAGCACAGTGTAGACCCTCCTCACACTCCTCTCAGCCCCGGGCGTGGCCACCTCCTCACACTGGATCCTCACCGCCCACCAGAAGGCACCACTGCTGAAACAACTCAGCACCTGAGCAGGCAGCACGGCCCATGGCCCCCACAGGAAGGAGTAATAGAAGCACTGTAAGCCGAGACTTGCAGCCCCCACTGTGAGCACCCGTCCTGGGCTCAGGAGTCTGGACACTCTGCGGGCCAACAGAGGGAAGGCGGCCTGGGAGAGCACAGCCAAGGCTACAGACAAGCCCATGAGCAGCTCACTACTCCCGTGATCCTGCATCTGCCACAGGAGGAAGTTGTCCACAGATGAGCCCACGACCCCAACCAGCAGGGTGGTGATGGCGCAGAGCCGGGCGTGGGGGGAGCCACGCACCTTCAAGAACCCGTTGGCCTGCTCTCGCTTCTTGTTCAGGTAGAGAGGGAGGATGGTGGCCACAGGAAGGGTCAGAACTGTCAGCCCAGCGTAGCAGTAGAAATGCATCACGGTCCTGGGGGTCTGACTGGTTGTGAGGCAGCTCAGCTGGCTGACCAGCAGCCCTGCTCCCCCCGCCCCACACGCCGCTCCCAGTAAACCCCACACCCCGGTGCTGTCATAGCGGTCCGAAGCATCCGCGTAGTCGAGGTATTCATACAGGCCGTCGTCTGCTGCCCAATCCAGAGGCGCCGCCGCCAACTCCCACACCAAGACAACGAGGAGGACCAGGAAGAAGAGCCGGTGCTGAGCGTCCATGGCCTTCAGGCTGCCCAGGATGTCAAACCGGCTCTTCTCCTCTGGCATGAACTTTGTCCTCTCACTGCTCACTGCAGTGGCCAAAGAGCCGGTGGTATGATTCACCCCAGAGCTCTTCGCCACGGCTACTGTTGACCACCACAGAAATGTTGCCCTGTGGCAGCTGAGGAGCACGTTTATGATCACCACTGTGCTGAGAAGGTGACAGGTCGCTCATCTTAACAGGGGCAGATGTGTTGCCAGGAAGTGTCTCTGCAGGAAACGTGCCCTCAGACTGAGCCTGTAGGTGCGTCCCAGCGCTACTCGTGAGCAGGTCGCCGCCCAGACTCTGGCTTGGACCAACACTCACATCAGATGTGTTACAGGTGGCGGCCTGTGTTTGCACACCTGCAGGCGGGATAAGCAGCAGAACCAGAGCAGCCACAGCCGAACACACAAGAGAGCCATGTATCACCTGCCGCCTCTTGTTGTAGTGCCTGGAGAGCAGGCTGACCACGGGGCTCCACCCCAGCGAGATCAGGTGCTTAGAGCCCATGACGATGCCGGTCATGGCAGGAGTCAGGCCCAGCTGCCTGAAGTAGAGCGTGAGGAAGGGGAGTAGGCAGGCTCGGGCACAGCGGCACAGGAAGTTGAAGGTGCCAGCCAGAGCGAGGGCACGCGTGATGTCAATCTGTTTGTTCCTCCTCATGGTCGTAGTCCTGTGCAGCTCACGGTCGCTTCTGATGGGACTGACATGGAGCCACCAGCGGGATTCAGACTGAGACAGACAAACAGAGACAGACGGACAGGGATCAATAGTGTCCTCCAGCGCTCCTCATTAGCTATCGATACAGTTATTTCATCATCAGCTCAGCTGCAGATCAGTTTTATTAGTCCACTAGTCCATGAACTGTCAGAGAACAGTGAAGCCACTCCCCAGAGTCCACAGTGACGTCTCACAATGTCTCTGAAGGTAAAACCCATATTAACACTGATATATGTGAAAGAACAGCAGTGAAACACCACATTTCAGACACTGCGACCTATTTGCCTGTTTTCACTAGTTTTGCTAAAAACTACTTGTTTCTGCTCTCGTTCCCGATCATAAAACGAACAGGATGGTTAACGGCACCGCAGGCCCCTGGGCACAGATGTGTAAGCGGCTCCCAGCCCCTACCACAGCAGCAGGAGTGCCACCAGCCACACGGCCATGCCGTTTGTGTCCAGGTCTTTTTCAGGCCGTTTTACTAGTGCTTGCAGGTTTTTGTAGCGGTTGTGTGTCTCCTTGTGGTTGCTGTACATCTCTCCGTGGTGACTTTCACCCCTTTGTGTTGTTTAGTGTCTCTGTCTGGGATACTTTGCTGTGCCCAGTAGGTCCCATAGTGTCTCTGTCTGGGATACTTTGCTGAGTGGGACCTACTGGGCACAGCAATCTATTTGTCTCCCAGGTCTACAGCAATAAAAACAGACAACGAACTGGAGATTACACCGATAAGTGTTAAATTGCTTTTCTTGTTTTAGAAAAGTATGATCAAAACTCCAAGGAAATTAAATCCAGGACCTAGTTTTTATAATCTCTCGGGTCTGGTGTTTATTCTTCTCATCAGAAGTGGATAGTAACCAAGTACGTTTACTCCAGTACAGTTGTGATGTATCTGTTCTTTACTCAAGCATTTTCATTTTCTGCTACTTCATACGTCGACTTCACTACATTAATCCAATAACTTTAGTTATTTCTCAGAATAAAATTAACTACACAAAACCCAGTATAATCATAGGAGTTAACTGTGGGGAAATAAAGTACTTTAATTAGCTCCACCTCTACCGGATGTAGCATGACAGTGATGACAACATGATAAACATCAATGGAAAACGTAGCATTCTGCACAAAAACTACTTCTACTCTTGGTACTTCTACACAGCTGGTGCTAATGTTTTTGTACTTTTACTTAAATCACACTTTGAATCTAGCACCTTTACTTAGAGTACTTTTACACTGTAGTACTGCTACTTTTACTTAAGCAAACGATCCCTGTACTTCTTCCCCCACTGCTTCTCCTGCCTGAACAGGATAAAACTGTTTGGTAAGTTGTTATGGATGAAGTGTTTCCGTAGCAGCTACAGAAACAGACAAACAAACATCTCGGCAGAAGGCACGTCTCTCTCTTTCTCTCACACACACACACACAGACAGACAGACACACACGTGTAACCACGTGTAACACCAGGCGAGTTGTATTAGCAGGAAGAAGCAGAAGAAACGGGCAGTCCAGAGACCTCGATGCACCTGTACAGGTTGTCAACATGTGGAGCTTTAGCCCACGTCAGGTCAAACTGCTCGGATAAAAGCTACGTGTAACACTCACTTTCTCACTTCTGTGCGCACGGAGCTCTTGGCGCGTCTCTGAGTACGGATCACATCCACGTCTTGGTCCCGTCGGTGTCTAACGCCTAGGTCACCTGTTGCAGCCTGGACGGTGAACGCGCTCGACTGCACCTGAGTTCACACCTCGAGCTGTTTCCATGACTACAGCGCCTTCTAATGGTATGGATGCTTCTGTGCGCCACAGAGACGCTGGGAGCCAGTTTAAACCCCCCCCCGAACACAAACCAACACGCAGGAAATCACGTGAAACTAGTCAGAAACACAAAAATGCAGTGATGCCTGGTTGATAAGAAACATTTCAAATTTTCCTGTGGCCAGAACTTTAATACTAGGGAAGGTTCTGGGAAGTACGTAGATCCTCTAAACGTTTATATACCACAGTGTAAACATACAAGTAAAAGTACTGCATTCAAAAGCTAAAGTAGAACAGTGTTATCATCAGATTATACTTGAAGTAATAAAAATATACATCGCTGATATTGGATCATATTGACTGATGTGGATCAATAGAGTCTGATGGTTCTACTGGGTTTGGTTTGATTCATCTGATTCTGGACCTGAAGTTATCAGGTACATGTAGTGTAGTAAAAAGCACACGGTTTGTCTCTGACATGGAGTCACAGGATGAAGTAACAGGACATGGAAGTACTCAGGTAAAGTACAACTTATATTTACTTGAGTAAATATACTTAATTACTTTCCATTACTGGGAATGAAAGTACAGAACGGCTTACCGTCACATATTACACACGTAAAAATAAAACCACATGTGGCTGATTCCTCTGCTGTGTAGACATCATGCTGTTCCCATGCAGATTAATAATTTCTCAGTAATTTTGTTTATTTTGTTTTTCTTTTTATTAAGAATAAACTGAATTCAATGTACCAGTCCAGAGCTTGCACACATCTTCTCATTCAGTGCCTCAGTTGTAGCTCAGTGTTCCTAATAAACTGAGTGTTTATTCCACCACAGAAAGGCCATTTTGAACCCATATTGTCAAAGGTTATAAAATAAATAAAAGGATCTTATGGGCGTAGCAGTACACACACCAAAGCACTTTGAACACTTCCTAACACACATATTAGTGTTGATACAGTGATGAATCCAGCTGCACAGCTGGGTCACAGGGTCGCCCCGGTGAAGGTGTTGATGGGCAGTGACAGGACTTTGTCCATATACTTGATCAGCGGCAGCTCGTGCTCGGTGCTGCTGAAAAAGCATCCTGGGTCCAAGCACGGAGAAATTTCTACCCTGTAGAGCAGTGACATGACACTGTGTCAGGCTCAGCTGGTCAAAGGTAAAGGTCCATTATCTGAGACTTTCACCACACAGTCTGATAACCCCAGTGACAGTGGGACAGGACGTGGTGTCTCTCAGCTACACCCCCCCTCCATGACCCTCTGCTGCCCACAGCCTCCTGTT